AAAATTACATATGCAGCTCATATTATCTTCCTATTGGGCAATGCTGATCTCGCCCTTGTCACTCACAATGTGGGCCATGGACCAGCAGCATGGGTTGCATTCACCACCTGAGAGCTTGTTAGAAATGCAGAATCTCAGGCCCCATCTCCAACCTACTGAATAAGAATCTGCATTTTAACAAAATCCCCAGGTGATTGATATGTATATTAAGTTTGAGATTTGCTGTGTAATCCAACCGCCTCATTTAACAAATGAATAAACTGAGGTCCAGAGTGGTAACCTGGCTTGTTCATGGTTATCTGGTTGGTTGCCCTAAAGCCTGATTCCCCAGTGGTCTTGAAACTTCCACATACCCCACCCTCTACTGCAGACCCTTCCATCTCGTAGAGTAAAAATAAAACAGACTGCTGCTTCACTAGCAAGGAAATAAAACATTATAAAAATTATTGTAAATAGATAAGAAAATTAATGTAAGTAGATAAGAAAATAGTGTCCTCAGGGATACTTATAACAGAATTCTAGGGTATTCCTTAGCACTTGTGCAACCAAGTTACTCCACAAGAATGGAGAAAACCTGTGCTTTCTAAACTATTCCTACAAATAACCTCCTTTGGTGGTTAAAAAAAAAAAAAAAAGGCAGGGTTTGATTCCTGGAATCAATAATGTGTCAATTGCTGAGTCAGTAAAAACAATTTTAGAGACTGATTCCTTTAGGATAAGTAAGAAGGTGAAAGAAGGAATTTCAGTTTTGTAACTCAGCTCCTTGTGGGTGGGTCTGAGTCATTCTTTGAATGTCCAGCTCCTCACAATCCGTTTAGCACATGGAAGGCTTTGAATAAGTGTGTTGAATGCACAGATTAGTTTCCATAGATTAGGTCCTAAACCTCAGGAAATGTTCCCTCCTTTACATTGTGTGGTAACAATGTAAAGAAATTCAGGAAAACACTTAAGTATTTAACTCTAGCTAAAATTAGTACTACTTTTAGGTTTAAATTTCTTTGGAATTAAGCACATTATTAAGAAAAACTTCAAATAGATACTAATTTTGCTCATGAAAATAAAATCCATCACATAGAAAGAGGAGGTTCCAGGTAAATTAATATTGACAAGTAATTCCAAGGAGCAGAGGTTGTTAAAATAGTTTCACTCATTTTTGTAAAGATTTTTACTAAGACAGATTAATCAAGCCTAATCAATTTCCAGTACACTGTACATATGGCCCAAAAGTTTTCTCTCATAAAAGATCTCTTTTTTGTGTGCCAACTGAAAAATGTAGATTTAACGTAGGAAATGAATTTCTGTGTTATATGAATTGAATATACTAAGTAGACTAGGAAGCACATTATTGGAATTATTTTTTCAAATGATGTAAGTCATATAGGAAGGAAAGTTTAACTCCCACTCTCTTCCTTTCAATTGTCCTATTTCCTCATGTTTTATCCATTACTCATTTCAGGTTTTGTTATTAACCTAAATAAAATAATAGGACATCAATCCTGCTTGTCATATGTAATAATGAACAATGACTGCTGCACATAATTATTAGAATGGTAATAATAAAAATAATAGGCCAGAATATTAACTTATATATCATTAATTTGGCAATGACATTATGTACTGCCTTACAACATTTCTTCTACTGATATCTTAAGTAGATATAGAATGACTCATTCATTCATTCAACATTTGTTGAGCACCTATATGCCAGGCACTGACAAAGCTACTAGAAAAACGATAACCAATAAACCAATTCCTGCCCTCCTGGCACATTTATTCTCACGGAAGAAGCAAACAATAAACACATAAATGATGAAATATATGGTACATCCGGTTCTTTTTTAAAAAATATATTTTATTGATTTTTTACAGAGAGGAGGGGAGAGGGATAGAGAGTTAGAAACATGGATGAGAGAGAAACATTGATCAGCTGCCTCCTGCACACTCCCCACTGGGGATGTGCCCGCAACCAAGGTACATGCCCTTGATCGGAATTGAACCTGGGACCCTTCAGTCCGTAGGCCGATGCTCTATCCACTGAGGCAAACCGGTTAGGGCAGTACATCCGGTTCTGATGAGTGATATGGAGAATATTAAGGAAGGAAATGCAAAGGAAGGCAAAACTATTTTATATAGGGTGGTCTCTCTTAATTTTGAGTGGGAACCTGAACAAAAGCAAGGGAGGAGGCCATGCAGATATCTGGGAGAGGGCTGCCTGGTCAAATGGAACGAAAGTACACAGGCCCGAAGGCAGGGGCATGCTTAGCAGGTTGAAGAACAACACAGAGGCCAGTGTGCATGTGGGAAGTGGAGTGAACATAGGCAAGAGCAGGAGATGAAGTCAGAGAGGAAGAGGGGCCAGACCAGATAGGACCATGTACAACTTCAAATGTGCCTTTCAGTACAAGGAAAAGCCACTAGAGGACCTAGCAGAGACAGGACATGATCGGACTTCTCCTTTAGAAGGAATCACTCTACCAGGTAGCTGCTGTGTTGGAAACAGACCGTAGGGACCAAGGCAGAAGCAGGAGTTAGAAAGTTATTATAATAATCAAGGCAGAAAATGGTGACTTGGACCAGGATGATATGTTGGAGATAATGAAATGGTATCAAATTTAGACATATTTTGAAGGTAAAAGTAGCAGGATTTGCAGGTGGATTAGAAGTAGTGTCTGGGAAGACTTCGAGTTTTTTGAGCAATGGAGATATCAGTTCCTGGTGAAACTGAGACATGAGTAGATTTGGTTGAAGGGGGGAGCAAGAGAGGAAAGATCTGAGATTTCTTTTGGAGATGAATTTAAGATGGTTTTAAAATATTCATTCTTGAAAAAGTAGATAGACTAGGACAGAGTTCAAGGGAAAGGTTGAGGTTGGCATCCTTATTTCAGTCCTTGAGACAAGAGATCACATGAGTGGAAATGGAGCCAAAAGGAGTTCAGGACGAGACTTGGAATACACAACACTGAAAGCAGCTGATTGTGGTTTAACTGTTCAGATGCTTAGCATTGTCATCCCCCAACCAAAACGTTAGTTCTCTGAGGCCATCCAGCCCAGTCTATATAGTCCTCATTATACACTTTGCCTATGGTGGGTGTTCAATAAAGATTTGGTAAATTAGTGAATAGAGACATTACTTAGTGCCAAGCAATGTTTGGAGGGATTACCAAGATAAAGAAAAAGTATGGAATGGCCATATCTGGCATCTTTTCCAGTCCCCATCACTCACTCCTCCCTGTGAGAGAGAGAATGACTCATGTGCTTGTTGAATTTGGGAAACAAAACTGAGACTGGGAGGCTCCGCAGATTCTGGGCTCTAGCTTTTCCCAGAGGCTAGGTCTGACGTTCTAAGTAAGATTGCCATTTGGGCACTAGGAGAGGAAGAGAGGAGTATAAATTATCCCCCTTCAAATCTCAATGTGTTGTTATATGGTCTTTTATGACTGCTTTCTTTTACTTGTACTGTTTTCCATAAGGTTCATCCATATTGCAGCATGCATCAGTCCTTCATTTCCTCTTATGGCCAAATATTTTCCATTGTGAGGATATACCACATTTTGATTATAGACATTTGAATTGTATCCACTTTTGGCTATTATGAATAACTAGAGTCCTGGTGCATGAAATTTGTTCGGGGGGAGGGGGGGGGAGGGGGTGTCCCTCAGCCCAGCCTGCACCCTCTCCTATCTGGGACCCTCTCACAATCTGGGACTGCTGGCTCCCAACCGCGCCTGCCTGACTGCCTGATTGCCCCTAACTGCTTCGGCCTGCCAGCCTGATCACCCCCTAACTACTCCCCTGCCAGCCCTATTGCCCCCAACTGCCCTCCCCTGCCGGCCCATTAACCCCTAACAACCCTCCCCTACCTGCCTGGTCATCCCTAACTGCCCTCCCCTGCTGGCCTGATCGCCCAGAACTACCCTTCCTTGCAGGCCATCTTCTGGCTGTGGGCATGGCCATCTTTGAGGGCGGGGCAGTCAATTAGCATATTCCCTCTTTATTAGATAGGATGCTGCTACGAACATCCATGGACAAGCTTTTCTATAGACATATGTTTTCAATTCTTGTGGTTCTATACCTGGGAGTGAAATTATTAAATGGTACCGGTAGGTTTAGCTTTCTGAGGAAATTCCTATTCTTCAAGATGGATGCTCCATTTTATATTCCAACCAGAGATATGTGAAGGTTCTGATTTCTCCACATTTGTTATTGCCTATATCATCCTACTGGCTGTGAAGTTGTAACTTATTGAAATATAGATTTTCATTTTTCGGATGGATAATGTTTAAGACTCTGATGTGTCTATTGACCATTTGCATAACTTTCTTAATTCCTTCCACACAGACTGGCTTGGGTCCTATTTCAATTGCACTGGATCGTTTCTATTTCCTCCATTGAAAATAAAGCGGCGATGAAGACTTGCAGGCACGTGGTCAGTTAGTTTCGCTTATTTGAATCGTATTCTGGCGCTGCATTTGGGCATCCCTGAGTCAGATGAGAGACGAATCCCGGGATCCCGCGCGGCTCAGGGCCCTTTTGCCTGTCAGGCAAGTCCCCGGAGGGTCAAAGCGCGTCCCCGCCTCGCGCAGC